TATCTATGTATATGTCGTAACTGAAGGTTGTGCATCAAATTACTAGGTTATCTTGGTTAATCTTTTTCTGAGTTGTTAGGGTTGACATTGATTTTTGTTCATGAAGTTATTTTTTCATCCTGTCAAGGCCATTTCATTTCTTCAAGTTTTGCTTCTTGTCAGTGTCCTATTTTGGGTTTGAGAAGTTTGCAAATGTTTCTCATACTGTACTTTGTACCTTATTAAAGGTATGTAGTTACTGCCTGGTGAGAAAGGAATTACTTTTTCCTAGCAGATGAATCAATGTTGCTGAAGGTATGAGTTATACAATTTCTTTAGATTTGCCGTTTTCTTATTTGGCTTGGCTGATAAATGAGCATGGATCATATGTGCCATCCTGGCAAGACTGATATTATTAAACTTAAAAGCACTTAAGCCTTGAAGTATCCACAGTGTTAATCTTGCCATTTCTCAACTGATTTTATTTTAAGTGTCTTAAGATTTATTTGTGCATAGTGTAACTTACATTTCTAATTGTAAAGCTTTACGTCCATTTTTTGTTGACAAAGTACAAAAGGAAATAACATGAATCTGTTTTGTCTCTTGTTCCCCATTCATTACTTGTTTTGATGTCTCATGACACTAAGCATGAAGCCAGACTCATTGTTTTGGGTATTCTGAAACCAACTGTAAAAGTCAGCTCCAGTCTTTTTCAGCCTATCAAATTACCCAGAACAAATGATGGCCTGGCTTCAGGCTTCACAAGGCAAAATTGACAATTAGAGTAACGGAGACATCTACTAATGTGCTGTGTTAGATAGGTTTGAGGAACAAAATGGTGGTTGGCATGCTAATGTTTATTGAGTGAAAACAGTCACTGTTATGGAGGTCATGGTGAAACTATCCATATCAGTATCATCATCATGAATTGATTACAGTTAAAAACCAAAACTAAATTTCAATTGGACCCTCTCCTTTCCTTACATAGTTCTGATCCAGAAGGAGATGCCAAATTATACTAAATGAAAATGTAATTTTAACAAACACAACACAAACATGCTAATATGAATAAATAGTATAGATATAGTTGAGGATGGAGTTAGTCAAGCACAATACATAGAAACTTAAAATGAATAAAATTACTTAAACTTGCAAAATTAAAATCAACTCAAAACTAACTTGCAAATTACAACTTAATGAAATGGCAAATATAGAGAACATTATACATGATCGATAATATCTCAAATGTCACCTTAGGACAATACCACAGGGTTTTCCTTTTACAAGTTCACAATACTTGAAACAATAATAATGCAGAAGAAAAACTCATTTTTTAAACAGCAGCCATCAATTAAAAGCAATCAATCTGATAAAATAGCATTGATTTGCATTTGAGTAAGCAGATTTCTTTTGTATACAACTGCCCAATACAGCAATGATCTCTTCCCGTACACTTAATCAAAATGAAGACAGATAGGTACTCAAAAACACACAAATCTTGAACTTCCAAACAATCCACTTTCAAAAAAAAACCCCTTGACCACCAAACACATGACAGAAGGTTAAGAAGAAGAGTTTCAAAAAAAAATCTAGAGAATATTTTGTAGAGAGCTTTTAAAATCATGTAGGTTTGTGACATAGGAGTCAATCAAACAGTTAAAATTTTCCAGAATAGCATGCCAAAATATGCCACCACAGTAATAGGAACATCTATGAACTCAATCCAAAGTACTGTGGACACTGCTGTGATATTTACTCAAGTTTGGTTACGAATCAAAATGACTACAAGTTTCCTACAACTGAAGTATTTCAGACATTCCCATACACAAAACACAAACACACACACAAAAAAAAGAGAAGGGAGTAAATACACAAGCAAAAATTAATCAATTCCTAATTTCACCGGTAAAGAACTGGCGAGGAAAGAAAATGGAATACATGAAGGAAAAGCCTTGGAACAAAGGCTATGCATATGAGTATTGAAGAAAAGAACACAAAATATACACTAGCTGAACTACCTTCACTGGTAGGTTGTATAAAATTAATTAAAATAACTACTAAATAAAATCACAGCTTTAAAAAAAGTTCACCTGGCCTTCTTATACTTATTTGGTGTTTACTTTCAAGAAGAAAAAAATCACAATAATTTGTATCTAAAGACATAAAACAAAAAGATGTACATTTTATTTGAGTGAAACAAATAAGTACACCTAACCACAAATGTCACCTTTTTGTGCGACAAACAAAATAAAATTGAATGAGGTTAAGACTAAACAATAAATTACATGAAAAATTTGGTAAACAGTGAAGGTAGCACAGACACGAAAAAGAAAATAGCCTCAAAACATGTGAAGGAACAAATAACACATTCATCACATTCAAACACTCAAGAACATTACATGTACTACCGTGGGTCGTTGTGGAGCCCTTGTGCATCAGTTGCAGTTCCGTACAAAGTAAAACAAAGCAGAGGGAAGAGGGCATTTCTATACTGGCAAGGATACTTCTGGTGAAATTGAAGCCACTAGTATTTGAAAGTAATTCTACAACAATTAGATAGTGACTTGACTGCCAAAATAAGTTCTTAAATGAAATTAAGTTCAAACGACCAGCACAGATAGTACATATAAAGACGCAGGATCATGCATCCATCTGCTCCGATATCAGAGGCACCACAGATCCATCATCATCAATCATTTTCTTTTGTTCCCCTGAGACTTCACACATGTCAGTAGTGCCAGACTCTGTCAACAGCTCACGCTTACGTGCAGCTAACTGAAGCTCGGCCAAGTCTGCCTTGGCTCTAGCTTCACGCAAAGCTTCACGAGCCAGCTCAAGCTTCAGGCGAACAGCCTCTGCTTCAACGCGAGCAATTTCACATCGTACCTGAAGAGATAAAAGATGTTATAGCCATAGCTCAAGAACGACACATAGAATAAAGATAGGTAAATGGACAGGGACTTACTTTGGCAGTATCTGCCTGGGCAGTACTTTCACGCAAAACTTGGCGAGCGGCAGCCAAGTTGAGGTGATGCAGCTCCTGGGCATGACGAATCAGTTGCCGCTGTCGTTCAGCTCTAGTATCCAGAGAAACCATTTCAACGTCGGCTTCAGCAACTGCAAGAACACTAGCGGGCATGTTCTGTTCAACCTGTCAAGATAACAACAGAAAAATTAAATAAATTTAAAAACAAAAAGTTATGAAACAGTAATTAAGTAGGCGCCAGTAATAAAAATAAAACATGGGGACTAAAGCTAGTAACCAGGCACTGCAAGCAAGCCTCCGGATGCCCCGAAGAAAAGAGTGTAACTAGAAGTTGTATACCCAAGCGACCAAATGACAACAACGTCGGTAGCAGAAAGCAAGTTCGGTAGGACGCCCACTCTTGCAAATTTTATGAAGATAAGGGGAAACTAGCTAGCAGTAGGCTGTAAAGGAGGCGCACAATAACCAGAGACTCGGACATCACAGAAATTTAATTCGGGTAATAAGTGTAGGTAAATAAAAAGCATTCAATACAGAAATAAAAGAAATGAGCGATAAGCCTTGATCGACAGGAATGGGCTTACAAAACTGAAATCAATGGCCAACGACCAACTCGAAGGACCACGTTCTCTCAAATTAAAGTGATAACGAGATTTAATTTTCAATAACACAACTTTGTACTTTATGTACCTGAATCGTTAAGGATTAACGCAATACCACCAAATACAGCCGAACGCTCAATTTTTTCCTAGCGGCGATCGACGAGTTTTGACGGGTGTTTACAGGGGGCTATGTTTACTGCACAGAGCGGAGATTGCAACCGGAAATCAAATTTGAAGTATTTCTCATACGTGCTACTGCTCTGCTGCTGCTGCTGCTGTTGTTGTTGTAGTAGTGGCCTCTGTTCAGTGTTTGTGTTTACATTTTACTAGCAGTTTTGCAGAAACCGACGATTAATTGTGATGTCGTGTCAGTTTAAAGCTTATGCCAAGGTTGACGTCGAAGAACTCAAGAATACTCTGATCAGCTCCTCTGTGAGCGGTAGGTTTCATTTTATTTGATGCGTTGTGTATAACCTAGGCAATCAGCTGTTACTACTGACAAAGGATGGGAACTGCACCCACCAGTCATTTAATAAAGAAGCTCCTCTATCTATACCCAACGACAATGCCTGAATTTTTAAATATGAAGACAAATTGTTATTTTGTGCTGCATATCATTGCCTAACTTCTATATTTTCATGATGTGCAGATGTGATCACTTATGCAGGTGTCATTGCAATGAATGTAACTTAAGTCTCTTTGGTTTTAGGTGGATCCAGTGAAGCCTATGATGATTCTAGTGGTTCAAAATTATCAGCAAGTCATTCCGCAGAATTATCATGTTTAAATACTTCTTGTGTGTCACTGTCGCCTAGTGGTGAATTTTTGGTGTTTGGCCAACAGAAAACTCTTAGTATCTTGTCAGGTATATCACATATTATTGTTTGAAAACATTCGGATCTGGTCATTAGATTTGTTTGTGGCATTCTATTATTTCATTCTAGCTAAATGGGACTCACATGAGGAAGAAGAGGTCAAAACCAAATTTAAAACTACCTGGACGGGTAATCCTTGTCATAATGACAGGTACTTTAATCTCTGTAATATTTGCAGCATGTTTCAAACATTGAAACAAAGATTCTATGTATGCTTATTATTTGGTAATTAATTTTCAGAGAGGAAATTACTGCAGTCCTTGTCTTACCTCTCATCATGCCTAATAAATCTTCCCGGTCTGCTCATACCACAGAGCAGACAGATTGGACTTGTATTGTTGTTGGTTACAATACAGGTCATCTGAGATTCTATGATGAGGTAATAGATCAAGGGCTTCAAGTAAGTATTTTTATTGATTTTTGAATGATCTATTTTTGTTTGTGTTTCAGGGTGGAGATTTATTACTATCTGAACAAATACATGATGAACCTGTGCGTTATATCAAGTGCCAGAGCTACCACCCCTCCAAGAACTCAAGTTATGATGATTATGCTGAGGAACTTTATGTTACCTTCTGTTCCAGCGTTGCTATCATTCCTGGGTTTGCGTTGTTTCAGACATTACGTGCATGTCGAAACCACCTTGCAAGAGGTACAGTAGCTCTACTATTACCACTTCATGGTACTTTTGTGTTCTACCCCATTAGGGTAAAGTTTATTAACTTACTTTTAACTTACAGTGAAAGCCAATTTCTCAGAACACATTTCTCCACCACCTTTGACCTTGAAAAAATGGGCTTTTGTAGATCATGAAAGTGTGAGCGATTGTGAAGTGATTGGCCCTTCCTCATCTGACATGTTTGACCATTTAATGACAGCGTCTATGTGTGGAGGCTTTAATACTTGCTACAGGTCTGGTGCGCCCAAATCAACTGTAGTGGTAAGTTGAGTGCCATAGTATTAATTTTTCAATACGTTCCATGTGTTGGGTCCACGCTGTGTGGACCAACCTAAAAGTGTCCTAGTGATGCCACGAGTCTACCCTAAAATTTTTATAGGCCTCTAAATAAGATTAAAGCCCCATAAATTCAGTGAAGACTGCCTGTAAGGGAGGATGGTGAAAAATGTCCCGCACTGAAAGTGTTCAACTATAGAAATAAAGCCGCTTTGTTGTTATATTTACTTCCAGGTTGCTGCTGGTAAGGGACCATTTATTGGTTTTCATCATGCCTTGGAAGGTATAGAGGGTAGATCAGTTTTGACTGATGTTGCTCAAGTAGTAAAAAGTAAATTTAAGTAAGTACATATGCATGCCTTCTGATGATATTGTGATGTTAGAAATCTAGTTGTTGTCATTGTGTTGAACATTTGAGATCTATTCACTTCCCAATTTGTTTAGGGGCTTCTTCGGTGGTAGTTCAAAAGACTCACAAAAGAGCACAGCTGTTATTGAACCACCTGAGAATTTGGCATGCAGGTGATTATTATTATCATCATTATTATTTATTATTATGTATTATTATTATTTTTATTATTATTATTTGAGTAAATGAAGGAATTGTATCACTGTCTAATCTTCCTCAATTTCCATAACATGAAAGGTTTAGCCTATTTGACCCAAACCGTGAAGCAGATCATATTGTTCGGTCCCCAAATCGAGAGTATTCTGTTGTGTCTGATGGATTGGGAAGACTGACTCTAATTAATAACCTTAGAGGTATTGCTGTGCGAATGTGGAAGGGTAAGTTGATTCATGTCAAGATTTATACCTGCCTTATACTAGCAGTTATTTGAAGAAGTTAATCAACTTTTTGGAACATGTAGGTTATCGAAGGGCTCAGTGTGGCTGGCTTCAAGTTGAAGAAGAGGAGCCGTCTCAGAAAGGAAATCCAAAGCATCTTCTACGGACTGTATTATTTCTTGTAATCTATGATCCCAAAAAAGGAATGCTTGAAGTTTGGACTGTTCCTAATGGTGTTCGTGTTGCAGCTTTTTCTTGCAGTAAAAAGGGCAGGTATGCCATTAATCCTTTTGCTTTTAAATTTCTTGTTACAACTATTTTTTTTTTTCTGAACCTGCTGTTTTGTTTTTCTATAATTTTAATATTTTCTTTTTAGACTGCTCTATACTAGTCATGGCCTCGTCGGATTGAATAATGCTGCAGTGAAATGGGCAAACAAAAGTCTATTACCATGTGCATTCATTGATCCTAATGGCACTGTTTTTCAAATTATTGTCCCTTTCCATTGTGCCCTAAGGTAAACTAATTTAAGTCAATAGAATCATCAATGTTTGATTATTAAGTAAAGCAGGCTGTAGAACCCTTACATTTCCAAACAGTGATTCTACAAGTGATAGAGCTGCTGACCTTGCTCTCCTTCGCAAGCTGAAATCCATTTTAAGGGAAAATGATCTGGATGATGAACAGCTTGCTCAGGAAGTTGGTTTGTCAGCTGCAGAGCTGAAAACTGAAGAAGTTCGAAAACAGATGCTAACAATGTTAACTTTACACAAACATATCACCATTGATGCTCTAGAAGCTGCTCTTGCTGTTTTTACAGACAGAGCTATGAGTGAAGGTCAGTGCTTACAAATTACTCAATAGTTAATCCTTCTTTTTTTGAATCTTCTCATTATTACGTTTAACTATTGATTCTTTTCTTACCAGATTCCAAAAGACAGATGCTCTTACTTTCCTGTCAACAACTCCGAAATTTGCTTGGATTTTACAAGTTTGTTCAGCAACAGAAGGATAGGCCTCCAAACTATGCATCAGTTGTACCTCAGGAGGGAATTTCAGATTTGCAAGTAAGCTCAACTTCTTTCTATCATGCAAAACCTGTTTGGTTAAAGGTTTTTTTAAATGAATCCTGTGTGTATTTCAGGCAGCATGTGATGTTCTTTCTGTATCTGAGCGAGAATTAACAGCTCTAAGGTCCCTGATGTCTCTTTTGGGAGTGGCTCCGAGTTCTCAAAATACTCCACGGAGGGAAGCTCGAGTTACTTTTCATGAAGGAACATCGCCTGGAACATCATTGGTTGATTATTTGGCTTGCTTTGAAATTGGGAAAACATCTCAAGGTAACATTGCACCCAATACTGTTGCCATTAAAAAGATGCAGTCTTCCAAACTGAAAATTCTTGGTAAGTTAGTTACTTTTTCCTCCCAACAATACTGAAGAGAATAAAAATAAATATAATGTAAATGGTTTACTTATTTCACAGCTGAACTGCTATTCCAGGGTATCTTGTACAGTGATGTTCCAGTTGAGGTATGGCAAGCAGAGGCTGCTTGCAGCGGTATTTTACCCTTCAACCTGCTTGATTTAGCAATAAACTTTTGGCTCTCTAGAAATGCTGGAAAAGCTTTGGAGATTGAAATGATACGTTTTTCAGAAATTGTTAAGGCCATATGTTTACTTGAAGGTACAATATAATATTTCTGTTTTAAATAATTTTTAAATCTTGAATCTTATTTATTATTAAAAATACATGTTTTTCATTCATTCATTTTTCAGAAGTGAACTCCTATGACCTCTCTTCATTTTGGTCTCCAGTTCGAGGAATACTTGCTTCATCTGCTCAACCCTTTAATGCTTTGACAGCAGCCCTAGTATGTAGGGCTGTTGCTTGTTCTATGGAGAAGCGTGGCTTTAAAAAGGCAAGCGAATCATACCACATTTTATTTATGTAATTGTTTTAATTTTGTTCAAAAAATTTTATTTGAGCAATGTTAATTTACCAATTTCAATTTTGGTCACAGAGTTCCAAATCACCAAAGAAAAACCAAGCCATTTCAAAGACAAAGGACTTAGAGGAAAGTTGTAGTAGTAACAGTAATGGTAGTGATATGCCTAAGGAGTCAAACTCTGTTACAAGTGAAGATCTAGTTAATGCTGAAGCTCGGAAAAGTTCTGCGGAGTGGGAAGATGTATCATGGGATTCTGTTAAGTGGAATTTACTGATTGGGCGTCTTGAAGATATTGCCTTACTAGATCAAGTACTGAGCCAAAATCCTGCTGATTTATGTGATTTATCTATGAAGAACCATCTTCCCTGTTTGCCTTATGTAAAACCTACCATATCACTCTCTACAGTTCTAGAAAAAGGAAAAGGTGTGTCTTCATTGAGCTTATAGCATGCAGTATTCTTGAATAACATAAAATTGTATAATTTCTTTATTCTCTGATCTAGGAGCTGTCTCAGAGCATGTTGCTAAATGGATTACAACATGTGGTGCTGATCCAAAAACTCTTATTGAAAGCTCTGATATTGAGTGGACAGAAAAAGATGCTGGTGTATTTAACAATCCCGAACCAATGGATGTTGATGAACCAGGCCCTGAAGATAAATCAGAAGTAATGATTCGAGAAGGCATTCCTGTCATGCCAGAGAGAGGAATGGAAGCCAGTTCGTTGTCAACTTCCCATGCACAAATACTTGACAAGATACATATGTTGAGATTGCATTTCCCTTACAGTCTTTGTGGTAGTGTCTTAGTTTCAAATATCACCTGGGAATATCTGTTGGAATGGCATAAAGCACCTGAATATATTGATATTTTAAATGCAGCCATTACTTGCCTTCAAATTGTTCCCAACATTCATATAAGACAAGGTTAGCTTGCATCACTGTTTAGAACTTAGCATTTGGAATTGTCTTTTGATGTTTTGATTTTTCACATAGGCTTGTGCTCTTTGATGTGGTCCTCTCATCTCAAACAACGATTTGAAACAGCAACAAGGATTGTGAATGAATCGAATGGAAACCCAAAGGAAAAACTCTGTCGTAGAGAGCTTCAAATGTCTGATGGTCAACTAGTTGAATTCGTTGAAACATGCATTAAATTCATTGAATTGTACATTGAGGTTTGTTTAGAATAATTACTTCTTTATTCCTATAGCTAGTTGGCTGTTACACAATCCTTTCACCTTTAATATTTTCTTATTTTTTTAATATCTATTACAGGCAATTAACTTAAGTGAAGTGATGAACCATCCAGGACCTAAGGCTGTTGTTAATCGTTCTGAAGATATTTGGGATTATGATGAACTAGTTTTAGGAACAAGCACTCCCTCTTTGACTTGTTTGGCTCTAACACAGCAACAAACATCATTCGAACACCTTCACCTTCTACATCAACTTGCTGTGTCCATGCACATGATTTTAGCTCTAAATTTGCGGGGACAACAGTTGACACCTATTTTCAAGCCCACGGTGCCTAATTATACAAATTATCTTCTTACTTTCAGTCCAAATTTGGATGAATTTACACAGTTCTGTTTCTTACAGGAATGGGCTGAATTTTTTTCTGAGAGCTCTGGTGCTGCTTCAGTGCAACATGAATATGTGGATCCACAACTCTCAAAAAAGAGGACACAGTTTCTTATTCGAGCTGTTAGTGGTGCAATGCAAAGTGTTATATCATCAGATCCCTCCCATGTGACTGACTTGGTATGTCTCTATCTATAAAAAATTCGGTATACCAAAACTATTATATTCATGGAGTAAATCTGTGACATGTTCTCTGTTAATTTCCTATACAATTGTTCCTAGAGTGGAGGATTAAGTGCTGATATGAGTACTGCCATGCTGTGGTTTGGGAAGTGCAATTCTTTGGCTTACACATGGGATATTAGTATTGATCCTATCCGTAGACACCATGTGTGTCTTTTGTATTCCTCTGGACACGATCGCCTGGCTGAAGAGGTAAGTTTACCACTAATTATATACATCGAAAAATTGATTCCATTATCTTGTTTATACAGTAATTGTACATAATATGCAGGGTTACACTGAATAAATTTTCCCATCCCTAGATTTTGCCGGCTGTCAATGATTTAGGGGAGTTGGCAAGTCAACTCCTCATGATTTGTGGTCAACGTCTTAGAGTTTCGTTTAAGCACTCCACAGATCTTATGGAAAAAATTTCCAATTTAGACCCATATTTAACAGATTGGTTGCATGATCTGGTAAGGAAATTGCATATACATATATGCAAAGCTTTAAGTTTGGAGGATAATTTGGATTTGAAGTTGGAATGCTATATCGATTTCACTCATATGAATTTCATCCCTTAGAACACAATTGATGTCAGGGAGGTCCCACTGTCAGACACAGCTCTGCTTGCGACCCATGTTGTACAACATCTTCCGGAGAATCATCCTGAATATGATCTTGCAGCAGATCTGTTTGATGCCTTGCAAGCTCTCCAATGCATGTAAGTGTAAAGAAGAAAATGCAATGGATATTGAAAATATGTAAGTTCAAAATGGACTTCTTACAATGTTGCTATTTCAATTGCATAAAAGGGACCACCACAATTTCCGTACAAGAATCAATAAAAAAAATTAATGTGCATGGCTACATTCTATAAACCAGTTTTGTTCTCCATGTTTAAAACTTTGATTTGTTTCTTATTGGTTGGTGATTGAAACTTTCTCTTGAGAAATTGATCTGTAGTTCTGATTTAGAAGTTTAAGTCTTCTATATTTATTATTTATTTTTTGCGTTGGGCTTTCAATAACGCTGATGTAATGGACTATTTTGTTTTTTAACCATGATTTTTGGATAGGTTGCTTATGTTGTAAAAATGGAAGAACGATTTTGGTCTTGTTGTTGAGACTTCTTCTGAACTGAAGATCCTCAGCTTTTTACTTCTTGCATGTGTGCGTATGAAAGAAGGAAGTAGGTAGATCTAGTGATATGAAAATGTGATAGATTCAAATAAACGTGTAGCTATAATTTCTTCTAATTAATCAGCAACAAAAAATAGAGTTCTGCAGTAACAGGCTTCCTAGGAAGCTAATTGTTGTGGCTATAAGAAACAAACAATGCCTTCAGGTGAAATGCTTTGGAGTGTCAACATTCAATTACATAATCAAATAATTTTAAAAAGAAACATTTCCATGGACTTAACAATTGAGGTGCAGTTTTCCTTTATAATTTTTTTGTTGTTGTAGCTTCTCTCTTTCTCTTTATAATGTACTAATTTTAAAGAATCAGGTATACAGCAGGTAGACAAACTAGTTTGCTGGTTTTGTTATTGACAATATTTTTATGTTTGGATTGTATTTTTACTCGTTCTTTACCTGCCTTTTACTCATATGCTATGAGGTAAAAAGAACGAGTATTGTCTTTGGTGTGGCTTAATTTAGAAACATCAATTGATCTCTATGAATATGATAGGTACAAGTATGAATGTATGCTCATTTTATTCAGTGAACTGTGCCTCACATTTCATAATAGAGGTATTTTTGAGTTATGAGTAGAAAAATTTTGGCC